AAGCTTTGTATGCCAAAGAGCTATATCTAACTGCAGACAGTACTGATGGCATCAGAAAATAAATTTTTGTTCAAGCTATAAAGATATTTTCCTATCAGATGTGTTGAAATAATATTTGATCAGCTAAGAAAATAAGATTTTCAGCTTGTCAACAATACTGAACTGTGATTTTGGTACTGATTGTCCAAGTAGTTAGCATGTTACTCATTCTCTGGTTTTCAAAATAATATCCACCCAATAGGTAATATAGAGTGTTGTCTTGACTAACTAAATTTTCCTGGCTAATTCATAAGGAAATGTGTTGGAGCAGGAAGTGAGAATTGATGAACAATATTTAGAGGGATAAAATGTTTAAGGGGGATTTCAATGATTTTGGTCTCTTAAATGAGCCACCAGACACACAATTTAAGCAAGAAGCAAGGGTAGTCCTGAGAATGACTGGTAGTAGTGGTAGCGACTGACATATCACCAACCTTAGTGGAAGTCATCATCAGAGTTGTGTCGAGTCCTCAGCAGAGTTAAGTTTGACTCTGATGATGACTTTTGCTAAGGTAGGTAGTCAAATATCAGTCGCTACTACTGACAACAGTCCTTCTTTCCTCTACTCTCACCTGAATGTGTTGAGTACATAATCAACTGTTACCTGTACATGTGGGTTCAAACCGTTTACCATAGGGACAAAGTTGTTATGATAATAGTACAAAAACTTCCTTAATCTTAAGAGGGCTCCTTCAACCTTTTAATGAACTGCTTCCAGCAGGTCATATTTGTTACCACCTACACCATCGTCAGATCTAGCATCACCCTCTGTGAGTGACCAGGAGAGTGTCAGCGATGATGAACAAGTAAATGACAAACAATCTGTTGTAGAGGAAGAAAAAGAGGAAATCAAGAAAGGTGAGGTGCAAGGGCCTGAGAGACCAATAAAAGTTTGATTGAAATTATTAGATTCAGGAAGTGTGAAAATGTTCATGTGAAACCATCAAGTGTTCCTGTGAAACCAACTCTCACATATTCTTTTTTTTCTTTTTTTTTTTCGGTGGAAGTTTGTCAGTTCAAGTTGTAGTTCAGATCTTGAGCCAGTCACATGGTATTATTTGAGAAAAATCTCAGACAATGGACAATTTCTCTAAAAACTTTTAACTTGAAATGTCCACACATTATGGCTGAAAAGGGAGACAATATGAAGAATAGAAAAATGTCAGATTTTTCTTATTTAACCTCAGTTGTACATCGTGTGGGAGACATGGTGGCCTAATACTTAGTTTACGGGACTTTGAATGTGGGGGTCTGGGTTCAAGACCTGGCAAGGTCACAGAGTTGTCTTCTGAAGGAAGAGTGCCTCTCTCCACCCAGGAGAAAAACATGGGTATTGGACGACTGTTAGATAACTTCACAGAATACTGCAGTCTACCCCCAAAGGGTATGATTTGATTTACATTAGGGAGAGGATGTGCAAAAGGAATTATGGGCTACTTTGCCTCCAAGACATAGCCCACCCATTATGATCATTATCGTTATCTTTGTTGTTTAGTAATCCTTTAAAAGTGCCGTATGGTACAGATATTATAGATGTCTTTACTTCTACAAGTTCTTTATGTACTGAAACAAATTGAATTAAAAGTAATTGTACAGGTGAGAGTCAATTTGAATTTTCTTGCCATAGGTGTCCCCAAGCAACAACCAAGATGTGATGTATGTGGATTAAGAGCATTCAAGTCTTACCGTTTCATCAGTCGCACCAGTGCACCAATACACTTAAAGAACTTCGTCACCCCAGAGCATGACCGCCTCAGGGTTTGTAAGAGATGCTTCAGCTCAAAGGAGCGTTGCCGACAAAACCTGGCGCTGATATTACTGCGTTCCAAGACCAGCCAGAGGGCTCATCTGCGAACACCTCTTGGGGTCACCTACAATCGTGCCACTAAAGGTATGGATTACATTGCACGGGACCTCAAGAAAAGGTTGAAAAGGCCCTATGAGGACCTCCTCTGTGATGAAACAATGGCTGATGAAGATGAAATGGAAGTAGAAGATGAGAGATTTCTATTAAGTGGTAGCGGAACAAAGAATAAAGAAGGACAATTCCCTAAAGTCATTTTGGCTGAAAATGGGAATTTTAAGCAAGGTGTAGTTACACCACCCTCTCCAGTTAAAAGTGTTGGAATTGTAACAGTGGTGAAACATCATAGTGGAAAATACAATTCTGTACCAAATTGTTTCACGTTGTATGGAGATGTTGATAGCTTAAAGGACGTGGATAAAGCAAGTGAACAAGTTGAGAAACAGAATGAAAATAATGCTCCAGTAAATGTAACAGAAAATCTTGGAAAACTTGTGGATCACAATATTTCACTGCCAACACCTCTGAGTGGATCAGAGAATTCTGAGATAAACAACATCAACAACAAGCTGACGTTTTTGGACCATGCCTATGCGTTACCACCCCCTAAGGGGAAGATGTCACTGTCTCATAATACAATCTCCAAGCCTGTGAAGTCAACTCTTCCAAAGGCTGCCAAAGTGGAGAGTGGTGTTAAACAAGAGCCTCAGAGAAAGCCAGGTAATTGAGTTGTGTGTGTTGTTCTTACCACAAAGAAAAAAAAAACATTAGGTGTGAGATAGCAATTCAAACCGTAGTCAACACTTAAACCTTTAAGATTGATATACATCTAGCGTCTCCCAACACTATCACTCCTGAATAAAATTTTTGGGTAATGAGAACAAATGGAATGATCATAAACTCAAATTAAGCTCTTAATTGTTAAGTAACCTAGAAAATATAAAGAGATAGGTATAGAAAACTTGAACACTAATGATAAGGTAGGTAAGGTAAAGTCTGGCTCATCTGGCCAGTGCTTAACTCCAGTTTCCATAGCATGGAGTGACAGGGAGTATTTTACTCCCCCTCCTGGATGGGTTACTAGTCCATCGCAGGGTTACCCCCCAGCATTAAATTTGCCGGTACCCATTTAAACACCTGGGTGAAGAGAGGCACTGTGAGAGTAAAGTTTCTTGCCTAAGAACACAATACGATGTCCCCAGCCAGGGCTTGAACCTGGACCACTGGAACCAGAGTTGAGGGCACTAACCATGAAGCCACCGCGCCTCCCAATGTCAAGGTGTAAAGGGTTAATAGGGAGACATGGTCAAGAAAGCTGCGAAATATCAAAGACAGGAACATTTGTGCCACAGGTTATGTTTTGAGCTCCCTGACCATACTCAGTCTCTGTTTAAGTACATCCTTCAATTTCTTATTATTTCACTCATTTTTTTTTTAATCTGTAGATGGCCAAACAACCACTTCAGAGAGAACTTGTGGGATAGTCTGCTTTCTGTGCGACAAATTGGTCACAAAATCATACAGCTGTTACAAGAAGGAAAATGCCCCTGATAAAATCAAGCATCTCTTTACTCCTGGAGTGAAGATTATAAAAGTTTGCCGTAAGTGTATGCCTTATAAGAAACCCAAAGAAGCTGACAAGGGGACTGGAGCTTCAAAAGGAAAAGTGAAGGTTGTCAAAGGAAAACTTGCAAAAATTCACTCAGCAAAGCTGATAAAAAATGCCAAAACTATTGGAAAAGTCAACTCTTTGAAGGGAAGGGAGAAACCAAAGGTCACAAGTGTGGAAAAGAACAGTGTCAAGTCACCAGTAAAAGATGACAAGAAAAGAAAAGAGGGCACAAAGGATGAGAAGTTCAAACCTCAACCAGCCTCAAAGAAGTTGTGTACATTGGCTGTACAAACAAAGAAATCTCCATCGCCAAAGGGAATGATGACTAAAGAATATAAGATAGTGAATGTGAAATTTGTGTCAGCTGTGCCAAAGGGTATTCAGGCTATTGTCAAAGGAGAATCAAAGACTGACGGTGGAAAATCGAACAAGGGGTCAAATGTGAGGAGTAAGGCATCATCAGCTTTACAAAAAAGTGATGTACAGAAAAGTGATACGGATTTGACAGAAAAGGCAAACAATAACAGCACAGCTGAAAAAGAAAGTGCCACGGCAAATAAGCTGAAGTCAGTGTCGGTGAAAGTGGATTCTGGAACACAGTCAATGAAGTCAATGATAGGTATCAACAAAGTTAAAGATAAGGAGAGTGGTTCATTGTCACCAAGTGGAGGTGTTTTGAAAGATGATAAAGATTCGTTGATAAGTGACAATGTAGAGTCTCTAGAGATCAGTGATGTTGATGTTTCAGATGTGCCTAAGGAAAGTGAAACAGTTGCAGAAAATGTATCTGCTGACTCAAAAGTAATTGAAGATGATTCTACAATGGATACAGAGGACATTTCAAAAACAAGCTCAAAAGAAAAGAATAGAGGAGAAATGAATTTAAAAATGACTGATAGAGGCAGAGAACCAAGGGTTAAACAGAGTGAAAAAGAAGTAGAAAAACTTGAAGACAGCAAATTGGAATCTAAAAGCCCAGAGGAACTCAAAGAGTCAAAAGAAGCTAAGGAAAAGAGCAAAGACTCTAAAAGCATTCTGGATATTATTATGACAAGGGGAAGACGATCGGCATCACTCTCTCCAGTTGTACTGAGAGGGACAGGTTCTTCTGAAGCTGCATCATCCAGGAAGGGAAGAACTTCAGGGACCCCTGACAGAAAATGTGAGGATAAACAAATAATGCCCACAAGAATGACCCGAAAGAGGCTTGCTTCATTTTCTGAGTCAGAGGCAGACAAAAAAACAGATGAAACTCCTGGTGGCAAAAGGAGGGTTGTTGCTGCGGCCTTGCTAGAGAGAATGTCCAGGAAAACTAATGATACACTGTCTTCCTCTAGTACCGCTTCAAGCAAAGTAAAGCAAGAGCATACTTATGCAAAGGAAACCAAAGATGCCAAAGAACCCGAGAAAGAAGGTGAGAACACATTCTAGCAGAAAAAAAAAAAGAGAGAGAAACAAACTTTAATCTTTTAACTCCTAAGATCAAATTGTTAATTCTCCCCTCTAGCTGCTACAAATTTCCTTGTGAGTCAGTTATGAGAATTTGTTGTTAAAGGGTTAATATATTAATGCACAAAAGAAAAAGAAAATAATGTAAATTTTTGAGGCCATCTCACATGAGGGGTTTTGTGAGCATAAGTGAGCATGTTAATGGAGTTTGCTCTAGATTATACTAAACAAAGGGAGCTTTTTGTGGGTTGAAATAATACTCTCCAGGATAGATTGTATTCATGAAATTATTGATACACAGGATGAACTTGAGGTATAGAATCTGGAAACATGATTTTGTGTGTATTGGCATCAATGCATGAATGCCCAGAAAACAATTAGGATGACAAAAAAAAAAGGTGACGTAGGATTTATTAGACCATGTACCTGATGTTTTGTTTTTTGGCTTTTATCATCAAGTAAAGGGGCATTCCATGACAAGAAGAAACCAAGTTCCTGTGAAGTGTGCAGGATGCAATGAAAATGTTGTAAAGTCATACAGATGCGTTATGCGTACTGAAGCTCCTTCACACATCAAACCGTTATTTGCCCAGCAGCCAGAAGAGATGCTGCGGATTTGCCGAAAATGTGTGAAGAAAAAGGAAATTGGTAGTGGCAAGATTAGTAACTAAAGCAAAGAATTTTATGTTGTTTCTTAAGTTATCTACAACTCCATGAATTGATAAAAGCAAATGTTTCTGCAAACAGTTTTACTTGTAGTAAATCTAAGTTATTTATCTTCAAGTATTTGACTTACTATAGTGCATCTGATGAAACTGGAGCCATCGCAACAAGAGGTAATTTGTAGGCTGGTTTAAATGTCAGGCAATTTAAACGTAGCTGACACTTTGCTGAATTATATAAATCACCCAACAACCCAATCTTTAACTAATTCTTTTTTTCCCTGCAAATGATGCAGAGGGGAACCATTAGATCTTGTTAGTGAGTAGAAGGCTTGTTTAGAGTTTAGAATCTCCCTTTTCTTTTCACCCTGAGATTAACTGGAAAGTCAAAACACTTCTTTAGTCTTCCTATTTCATTACTACATTTATTTTGTTGTTGTCCATTATGGATGCAGTCATCTTATTTTTAGTATGTAGAAAGAACATCCTGGTCCAAAACATTTTTAAGGATCAGCTTTTGGTGATCCTTTTGGGCCTGTCCACACCTCAGGACAGGAGAAAAATGTACCAAAACAGGTAAATTTGATTCCTTCTTGCTTACATCTAAGACAAACACAAAAACACAGAAGCCTAGAAACTAGGCAAATAATTGTGCTGATATAATTTTTGTGAAGTGCAAACTCTGTGTTTGCTGAATACATGTGGTCAAAGAAGGCACTTATCATGGTTTTTCTCCAAACTAGAGAAAATTTGGAATAGGCAAATCTTAGAAGAAAAAATTTTTAAGTAACACTTTGAAAACCGTTTAAGAGATGACCTTGATTCTTAAGAATACACTGTTTATCATCACCATGTTAGATTTATATGATGAAAAATTTTGGTTAACAAGGAGCTCAATTTCATGCCTGTAACTAGCAAAGAATTCAAAATAATAAAATAAGTTACATATTTTGAGGCTGTAAATTTTAAATGTGCCTGACAAATCAGAGAACTTTAGTATTGTATTATTTGTTTTCCTTGCCGTGTTTGTCAGTTATATACTAGCTGATGCCAAAGTTTGAATGTAATTTAACTGAGATATATGTTTAGTGAATTACAAGAACAAAATAATACATTTTGCTTATGAGAAAGATTGCAGCATATTTTTGTTTTATTTCTTTCCTTTAGCTCTTGTTTACTACAGTACAACACTATCAATACCAGTTGTGGATTCAGTGTATTTTAGCAGGGCTCAAGATCCCCCCCTCCCCTCTTCATTAGACCTATGGGGTTTTCCATTACTTGTCTGACAACAGAATTCTTAAATCAAGGATGTTATGTTAGAACTGGATTATTTAAAATTTGATATTTGAAAAATCGTTCTCAGCTTATCGAGGCTACAGCATAGAAAAAAAGAAAATTTCTTTGTCCCCTCCCCAATCAAAAATTCCTTACTCAAACCTCTGAATACAACTGCTTGCTGAAATGTGCTCTGAGGGAAGAGAAAAGGCAGTGTGAAGAAGATGATAAACATATGTCCCTAAGCTAAGAGAAATTTAATTATACACTTTCTTTCAAAATTTGCCATCACAAAGTTTCTCCACACCCAGCATACTCAACTTCTGGGAGGTGCAGTGGTCTAATGGTCAGTGGACTTTGGCTCAAGAGGCCCGGGTTTTAGACCCACATGAGTCAATATGTTGTGTTCTTTGGCAAGACACCTTGCTTTCAATGTGCCTCTTCAGGGCACACCTAGTAGTAATATAGTTTATATCTGACTACTTGCAGCCTGAGGTCGAATTAGGAGTACAGTTTAAGGTTGTTAACAGAAGTCAGCATATAAGGTGCCTCTGGCAGCTGCTTCAGTCCATCGATCTCACCTTCCCACCCATCCCACCCCAGGGGAGGACATCCATCACACAGTAATCTTGTGTGTGGGAAATTAAAGTCTTCTACCCCAACCCTGCAGGAGACGGGACCTCCATTTATTCGTCCCTATCCGAGAAGACTAGAATATCTGACCTAACTCCTGAAGACAAGAATGACGGTTATTCAACTTGCTTGGACAACGTTAGTGAGGGATTTTGTGGACTGATAGCATAGCCCAGTTCTTTGTTGGTGATTTAACCAGTAATTGGTTGACTTTAAATTTCCCACCTTTTACAACAGAGTGAAAACCCTGATCGGGGCACCCTGCCAAGACAAAAAATAGGAAGCTAACCAATCATTTGTGCATGAAACAAGTTAGTTGCAGTGCAAATCAAGCTTAATCCTCTGACCTTTGTTGGCCTACACTGCCTGTTGGTACAAATTTTTGTCAGCTCTTAAGTTTTTTTCTTTTTTATTGGTTAAATGGACTCAGAGAGTTGTGATGGAAATAGAAAACTTTTAATTGTGTTTAACTTTATTACAACTAAATGTCAAAATATATTTAATAGTCATATTGCAGCAACAAGACATGCATCAAACTGCTATGATCAAACATTTTATAAAACAGTTCATTTTCAAGGGAAGTAACAAATTTGTATCACTCAAATACCCATGCCACCTGATGATGAAAAATTTAAAAAGTATTTCCTTGACCTTACTAATCTACAAAAAAACATCATCATCATCATCATCATCAACAATGTTGGTTGGTTTGTTATCATAATCTTCCTCACTGTCCTTGTCATGAACAGCTTTCTTTCCTTTCCCCTCATGGGTTCTGAGATGTTTACTCAGATGATCACTTCGGCCAAATGCTTTGTTACAAATAGTACAAGTGTAAGCTTTCTCTTTTGTGTGTATTCTCAAGTGTCGTTGCAGTTCATCTGAACGAGTAAAGCTCTTGCCACAACAACGTGCTCCAGTATTCTAGAAAGAGAGAAATTATTTTTAACTTTCATGATAATGTCATCTCTATCTGCAAATTTAACATGGGAAAGTGTGGGATAATAGATATTATTAAAAACTGGATCATTGGATAATGCAATTCAAGACTTTTTATTGGCTTAGCCATTATGGTATATGAGCCAATATACCAAAATCTACAAATATGGTAAGCGTACGCATCAGCTTAAAATCAAAAGGGAGCTAAAAAATTTAGTAAATTTAATCATTTAATTTAAAGTTTTAATAAAACAATTATTCCAGTTGCACTTGTTGGATATGAGATGATTATAGCCAGATATGAGATGATTATAGCCAACGAGGCGCTACGCGCCTCGTTGGCTATCTATCATCTCATATCCAACGCTTGCTCGTGAAATGATTGTTAAATAGGTAATGTAGACTGGTACAGGTGATAATTCTATGGGATGAAAATAGAGGCGAAAGATGGGAGATGCAAAAATGACAAAAGGAAAAAGAAAAGAGAGGTTAAACAGGATGAGGGAGAGAAGAATTGAGGAAATTACTCAAAAAATCTAAAATTATTAACGTGCAGGGCATAAGAAAAGGAAAAGGAAATTTCTCAACCAAAAAAAATGCCACAGGTTGATCAGAAGCTGTTGCCAAGTTGGTGGTAAAATGAAGTGGTAAAATGATGGGGTTCTGCCCCACTTCTGTATAAATAAGCTTACCCAGTTACAAACAAAAGGTCTCTCTCCTTTGTGCCAGCGTAGATGAGCCTTCAAGTGTGATGTTTTCCCATAAACCTGCATGAAAAACAGGAAACTTAAGGATGATGTTCAACATACCTTGGCCAAAACAAGGTTTTCATGACTTATATATAATAGCATGGAGATCAAAAAGCATTCACCAAGTAATTTGACATCTAAGAGGTTGCAGTGATAAAATATCATACCAGTAAGAAATGCTTAACCACTGTTGACATATATATTGGCCTGATGGTACTTTTGTTTGATTCCTGACAGTGTGTATAAAATGACAGTGGCTGTTTTCAGACAGAGAACTCCTGATTAACACTGGCATGTCACAATGAAAGGCAGGACATCATATAACCGTTCCTTCAGTTAACAGCAGAAGTACACTTTGCAGCTATAATTAAACCAAGATAAACAACCCCTTTTCTGTAACTGAATTTTCATACTATTGAGTACCTTGCCACATCCAGGATAGTGACAACTATGCGACCTTTGCTGCACATTTCCAGTTCCACTGTTCAGCCCATTGAGACAGTTTGGACAAACGCAATGAGAACGCCTCTTGTTAACAACTTCATTTCTGAGTCCTAGGAATGAATCATCTCAGAATTAACAACAAAAGTGCAGATGTTTAGGAGATGGAAGAAGAATTCGACAAGGACAGCGAAGATGATGACAAACGCTGATGACAATGAAGACTTCTGTGTAAACACATTAAATCTAACAAACGGCTCCTTTAGGAGCCACCACATTCTCAAAAGTTAATAACAAATGATTGCATATTGTGTTTCTTTACTTTAGCTTGGCTTATAAGTAAATACATTCCAATTTACTAGAGTTTCCATGTGTTGGAAAAAAATTTTTTTTGGAAAACTTTCGGCTATAAGCAAAGACCCCCTCTAGTGCCCAAATTTTAATCCACTTCAGTTTTAATTTGTGTAAAAATTGCTTGGCTTATAGTTGAATAAATGCAGTAATTGCAAAGGGTAAAAGCATTCCTAATTTTTACTCACCCTCAAATCTTTGATTCTTTTTTCCAGTCATAATGTTTCCGTGGTCAGGATGAATCTTGGCGACCAAATTGGAAAGGTTTGCAATGGGAGATGATGGATCTCCCTCCAATAATGCCTCAACCAGCCCTCCCTTGTTTCTTGCCTTGACAGTGTTTTGGTTAGAAGAACTCCGCCAGGTTTTTGTTTGGGTTAGTGGTTCTTCTTTAAGACTGTATTTTTCATCTTTATTTTCACTGGTTTGAGATCTACATTGTCCAAAGATCTTTATTGGATTGATGGGTGTCAGTTCAATGCATTCCATGCTACCCTTACCACTACGACTCATCTGATAGGGATTAATCATGCCAGTTCTGGGAATGGAAAACTCTCTAGGAGTTATCTGACCTTGGTTGGAAAAATCCACATTTTCTGAATGTTTCCCCATCAAAACACAAGAATTTTCAGGTAGAGAGTAGTCTGCACTTCTCATTTTGTCCTCATTCTTCATTGCACACGAATTGAGAGTTTCATATCTTTCTTTACGAAATGTCATCTTATTTTCAGACCCAATCCACTGACACAATCTTTTGTCATCTGTTATGTAATTCTCACTCTGCAGAGCTGGGGTTATGTCTAATATTTCACTATTCCACCTTTCTAAACAGCTGTTGGTCTCAGCAGGAGACTCGCGACTTGCTGGAAATGGCTTGAAATTTCCTTCTGGAAGGAAATCTGATTTAAACTGCCAATTTGAGGGCCCAGTACTAGCAGAGCCACTATTGGAACAGAAATAACCACCGTTAATCTGATTGGCACAAGAGTTTACCTTAGACTTCATTGTTGCCACAGGAATATTTGGTGGTGCATTTGGCCTGTAACCAACCACATTCTGTTTGTCCAGCACCTCACCATAACAATGGGGATGCTGCAGTGGATGTTCCAAATAAGCATCTTGACAACAGCATGACACTTTATCACAGCTGCATGGAGAAAGTGGACATGAAATATCCACACGGATACTCACAGTTGGACATAATGACTGATTGAAATGGCTCACTACCTTGCTTGGTGTACCTTGGTATGCACTCTTGGAAAATCTCATACTTTCATGAAGACTCGACTGTAATTCTTGTTTCCATGGAAATACACTTTGTGTGCATGAGTTGAGTGTTGCATCCTTGAGCTTACAACCTCTTGGCATGTTGGATGCCCCTGGTGTCATATTCCTTTCATGGCCTTCACGTGCAAAGACATCCAGTCTATCATTATGCAAGCACTGTCTTGAACTTGGTGTTACTATGGGACCACTGACATTAGGATAATGTGTCAATGCATTGTCACGATTGGTAGCTGAACAAGATGAAGACACACTACCATAAGCTGCACTGCTTTCATACAGTTTGCTAGGGTAGATAAACTGTGTTTCATGTGCAATTTCAGGGATGTACGTTTGAAAATCCTCGTAGCAAGCCCGTTCAAAACTTGACATTTGACGACTCCCAGAAGCAACGTTTGACTTCAGTACACCATGACACTCGCTCGTGGAATCAATCTTCGAGAACTGATCACAGGTCGATAAAACCTTAACTACTGGTTCGTATTGCTCCCTATGAAAAGAAGAGAACGTACTTTTACAAACACTGTTCCCGATAATCGCGTTTTTCCTGCAAGATTTCTCTATTCTTGACGCCAAGAGAGAAATGCCTTCACACCCGAGTTCATTTGGAACGTACTTTCTAGGTAATTCCATCACTGTCGCGGTTTAAAGTACCAGGAAAGTTACCAAACTATACCCAAACTATTTAAAAAATTACCACTGTGTTCCGTAAACGTTTTAAAGGAGGATACCATCCGAAAACCGTTGTTACTGATACAATTTTTTTGCTGTAGCTACTAAAATATTTTTGCTCGAGCTGACTTACTAATTCAAACGCCAAAACTAAGAATTAATCCTAGGCTTTGTTAAAATGTACTCTAAGATCTCTGATTCTGTGCAAATGAAGTCTTGAAAGCACATTAAGACAATGTGTCCATTGTTTTAGTAGCTTACCTTGAAAATTTCTCTTTACACAGCGTTTTAACAATGGCGGAATCAGTGCATCGCGTCCCATGTGAATTAGCTTAGGTTGTGGAGAGTAATTAAGTGCCACTAGATTATGTGACGTCTGGGAAAAATATAATGAGCTTGATCTACAACAAAATGAGACAATTCAATGAAACCGTTTCTAACGCACAGATGTGTATGGGCTTCAATACTTTGCCCGAGCGTCAGTTCAATCACTCAATCGCGTGCAAATCTCGCGGGAATTGACTTTATGAGCCCACACTGCTTGTGTCAGTGATAATGGACAAGTTCCCAGACTTCACCAGTGAAGTGAAGGGCGCGGAGCCCTAAAGCCTTTTTTTTTTTTATTTATAAATTGAAATTATAAATTGATATGTGCTTCAAAGTCTTTCTGCAAAGCATTTCAAAGCCTTTGGGGTAGAAGGAGGGGAACTTTCACGCGCAAAGCAGACAGCAGATCAGGCTTGCATAGAAGACAGTCAGAATAAAGCGAGCTCCGGCGAGGAGAATTAAAAGTTTGAGGAAAAAGTGATAGTGAAAACTTTAAGTGATTAGAAGATGATTCATGCGAACTAGAAGATACTGATAAACAAGATTAAGAAAACCTATGCTTCCAATAGCGCTGTCAGATCCGAGTGATCCAATGAACAGATTTATAATACTGGACTTATTGAAAGAGGTGGAAACTTTATTCTAAGGTTTAATCGCGTTTTGCCGCACTATATTTTTATAGTAATCTTTGCCCCAGAATAATCAATTCATTCAATGTGAGAAGAGCAGAAGGGAGAAAGTTCGCAAAGACCCACCGCTCTTGCAAGGAGAAATTTCAAATGAGAATTAAAGTATGGAGCAATTATATTCAAATGTATTCAAATATGTTCTTTTTTCAAAACCCTCTAGGTTCTTTGACGTTTGGGTTTTTTTCATGACTTTCGTATAATTTTTCTTTTCGACCCTTCACAGTTATCCTACTAGAAACTTGATGATATAAAAATATACATTCTTACGATTTCTATAGGATAAAAAAAATCACAGAATGTTTGTTTCAAAATCCGGGGGTTGGAGGCAGAATTATTTGACCTTCGGGATTCGTGATCCTTATCTTTTTCTAGTCCAATGATTCACAAATCATCAAAAGTTTTGTAAAACATTCTTGATTTATTTGAATTGATCTGGTAATTCATAAACGACAAAAATTCATGAATCGTCAGTCTGATTCAACTGCTTTGATACACGGCTTCACATATCTGCTTCCACCCGGCAATTAATGCGTTTGAAGCTTGTGCATCTCCAGTTTAATTAAATTTCACCCAATCTGAAAAGCAGGTTAGTAAAATTATTGGCTTAGGGAAACATCGAACTGCATTCTGCAATGTCTTTCATCCTGAGAAATAATTCGCATGGTGTGAAAAACCCCCCAACTGAGGTTTTTTCTCTAATTGTGGACAATGAAGTTTAGAGATATCCTTCATGAAAACAACATATTTAACAAAATGAACGCCAGCCTTGAAAATAACAGATGTCTAATATTGGCAATTCGTAGCTTTTTGGTAATTAGGCAGTGTCACAGACAAACAGACAATTTAGACGGCGAATGTGAATTGGCCTTTCTTGGGAAAATTATCAATTTCTGAGCCAATTGATGCAAATTAGATATAATGATTTAATTGTGGAAATATGCCAAAAATAAGGATCTTTGTTTAAGCTTTCATATGTGCTAGATAAAAGATAAAAGTAAATCCTCATGTTGGAAGTTTTCTTTTTTACGGTGAACTTGAAGGCGAACAATATTATACAACGTACGAATTTCATCAAAAGTGTCACTTGACAGATGAATTTTCCGGAATTAAAATGTGACAAATTGTGACAGTATTTCACAATTTTATGGATGCAGATTGTGTATTCGAATATTCGACCCGAAGAGGCCAGTGACGGTGATTTCGGAATGTTCCCTTGTCAGTTGTCAAAAGGGTACTAAATGCTTATTTATAATTCAAATGAATAAAGGCTGATAGTTTCGAAAGAAACTGTTTGGGGCTGCGTCGGTGGGAGTAACGAAATAATTTGGATATATCAACAAAGTTGAAGTGGTAAATTGGCCACCGTAACGATTACAAAAGCTGACGTTTCGAGCGTTAGCCCTTCGCCATTCGCTCCGACGAAGGGCTAACGCTCGAAACGTCAGCTTTTGTAATCGTTACGGTGGCCAATTTACCAATTCAACTTTGTTGATATATCCAAATTATTTATAATTCAGTCAAGTTACGTTGAATATCATATATTGAAAATCAAATGCTGAATTTTCGTTCATTGAAACAGTTTCAATAAACTATTTTTAGTAACGCAATGACAGGAGCGAACAAATGCCATGGCTTCATGGATCAACGAAAATTCAGCATTTGAATTTTTTCCTAGCACTCTGGTTTAGAAAAAAATATTAGGGCTCATGTAAATTAAAACACAATAGCACTGCCATATTTTTCGGGGGGGGGGTGAGGGATTTTGTTCTTATCTTTTAGAACAGCAGCTCCTTCCCTGGACTGGTGCCAACTTTGTGTTAAGCTCTGAATTGGCGAAGCAGTCCCCCCCTCCCACCTGAGCCACCTCCCTACCTCGCCCTCGCTTAGTTTTTCCCTCCTCCTACTTTTTCGCTCGTCCCCACCAAAAGAGTGGAAGTAACAAGCCATGCTGTACCCCAATCTACGCTGACTGTGACACAGTCAACCTAAAACACACAGTGTTGTGTTAGAATTGTTATTTGTTGAAAGCTCGTGTGTTAAGTTGATTTAAAGGCGACCCGCTGAGGAAAGGAAGTTTTTTTAGGAAATGAAACGTGGTAAATGCCGAAATGTCCAGCTTAAAATAAATTTCTGAAGGTAATCCCATGTTTGAGAAGAGGTTGATCGTGTGAAAATAACACGACCTCGATCAGTGAATAATTCAAACGTAGTAGCAGCTTTCCTTACTTCGCCTTCAAGAGAAAACAGCATTTCTATACCTCGGTGTTTCCAAGGTAATACATTAATAAAGGTGGGACGTAAAGAACAATAATTACACAAAAGCACTAATCATACATATTCGTTTACACAATGTTCGTATTGCCATGGATTACACGACATTTATGGTTGTAAAACAACCAGCAGGGCTTTATTATGTTAAATTGTTTCAATTGTAACTTCTGCAAACAGAAATGTGGCAACGGAGTTATTCATCCGAACCACAAATCAATTACCGTTGACAGTTGTTGCCTGGTAACGGATGTAAACAAGGATAAACAGCGAAGGTTACTCGTCTACTTGATTGAAACCCCAAACAGATGCGCGCGTGACATCCACTCTCTCATTTTCAAAATCAGTGGTGCAGAAACGCGTAAAAGAAACAGTTGCCTATCTGATAAAGAAAACGGAGGAAACCCTATTTTACTGTAAGCCGCTATGGGTTGTTCTTCAAGCGCACAGGCGCGAAACGTTGAGAGAAGTCCACAACCAGTTCAGGTCGCCGCTTCTCAAACGGCCGCGAACCGAAGCGGAGGAGGATCAGACATGTCACCGCAACCAAACGTCGCTACCACGAAACCCGTACAGATCGAAAGCACAACAACCGCAGAAAAAAACCGGGTGGTACACGATCAGATAGATGCCCCAAGCACAGGTAACTAAACGTAAAAACTGGTTTATGTGGCTCTTCCCAGGAAAAAAAAAGGTTAAAGTTTTCCTAATAATAGTGTGGTGTCAGTTGTTAAGACGCCTCCATCCAATAATGCGCGACGATGAAATTTGATATATTTTACTGATCTTTGCTATAAGGTTTGGAGAACACGTAAAAATGTAAAAATTATGATTCGTCCACGCAGTTCACTTTGATCGTTATTTCTATTATAATTTAACTGGCTTATTGTCAAATACACTGTCGTTCAACTGAGAATTTAAAGGTCATTTTTGACTCCGGGAAATAAATAAATCGCCAAATAAGAATAAATTGAAATACTGGCCCGCTGATCGGGATCAATGATACACCGTTCTATTTTAATTGCCACATAAGTTTGTTTGTACCAGTTGGAGACAAATTACTTGAATTCAAACCTATAAAGCGGGCAATCTGTTTACCGCTAAAAGGAAGGAGCGGACATGTGGAAAATTGTCATACTAAGCTTCTTATCACATAAGAGCTATTCTGACATGTTTTAGCATGTCCTCAAAACATGCAAATTAGACATGATTCATCGTCGTGTCCATTTAGAAGGGCGATTAATTTGAGCGAGTTCACGTAAAATAAACTTTACTTTGAATCTCCAATACTAATTAATTGAAGAAGACTCTACGACTCACATTAACCACATATCTTTCGATTTTTAGCAATATATAATTTAATCAGACTACACCTTCACATATAATTTTTAGAAGAAAGGAAACGAAACTCCCTTGCCATGATATACCAGCTGTTATAAAATGGGAATAAAGGCGAAATGAAAATCATTTTAAATGCGCTTGATCTTTTAGATAAAAATTGACAGTTGAAAATCCAAGGTATTTACACAAACTTCGGTTTGCATTGCACAAACACGGTATAGTGTGGCGAACCTTACATATCTTTACCATCAGGAAGATATATCTTTCCGAGAAAATCATTACAAATTGCAAGTTTTTTTTAAGTTGCAAAATGCACTCTTACATCGGAAACCAAGGAAATATTCTTACCAGTAGTGAATAATGATATTTAGTCAAGCATAACAGACTGGAGGTAAAATGAACAAATGGTTAGTGATAAGAAAACCGTAACAGTTGCCATGGTAGGATATGGATAAGACTAAACTCTAAATAGCTGTCACAAAAGCGTTTCGGATTTCTTGTAAATTCAACTTGTTTTGTCTAAATGTCAACCCCAATAAATACTAAGAAATCGTTTATATTTGGATATTGCTTAATAAGGAAATGTACAATCGAGAGGAAGGTTAAAACCGTGTCGTATTTTGTTGTTGTTGTTCTTTTTTCTATTTTTTCACCTGTCTATCCTGAAGCGGCTGCAGTCTCAAGACAAAAGTGTTGTCGATATCTTTCTCCTGAGATAAAAATGTATAGTTGTCATCGATGTCATACTGGAAGAAAGTGTATCAGCTTTTTCTTCTTTTTACGCCTCAAGAGAAATCCTTGACCCGTATTAAAAGCCTTTCAGTTTTACCAAATTCGTGAAGCTAAACTGTCATCTCATTACTGACTAAGACTTGTTGTTTGAGTTTTGCATTTCCACCGAAATGAGTTCTTCGATAGTCAGAAATTTGTTCCCTTGTCAATTTTCCATTTTCTAGGAAGCGAAGAAGGCTCATGTTAGCGCAGTTGTTTTCGACGAAAACAGTCGAAGCCAAGAGTATTCAACGTTTACATTTCATTGCTTGGCGACCACGATTTATTCTGAATAAAATAAAAAGGGGCCTCCAACCGTAGGATAATTTTGTTCTGTGAACGCTGGTGCACCATATTGGTGACGACAAAAAGAACAACTGAGAAGTGGCAGATAAGAAATAGAATAGGATACTACGTCCGGGAGTTGAGAGATTTCTCTTGTGAGACGTTTAGGAGATGATTATGGAGTGTAGGCGCGGTGTTTTGGTGGAGGATTCTGAGGGATTGAACTCCGAATGACAGATGTAAAGCGCGCCTTTTGTGCCGCGCCATTAGACAACATAGGGAATAGGAGAAAACAGAAAGTGAAGTATTTTTACAGCTGAAATACCAAGCGCTTTAGCTCTACCTCTTGTGGAGTTATCATTGGACAATTCAGCGCTTGCATTGACAGGGACAATTTTCTGAGTTCAAATTAATTTGCAAATTTTAAATCAGATTTTATCCATCAGTTGCAACTTTCAAAAAACCAACGCCAAAAAATGTTGAAGCGGGTTATTGATGCTATACTGCCGAGGAAAAGTATGAGAATATTGAAAATAATGCTAATGGCTAAACGGGAATGTATGTTTATTTATTTATTTTTTTATTTCAGAGCAAGCAGCTCATGTAGATGATAAACCACAGAGTTCAGTTTCCGAGAAAGCGAGTGAAAACGAACCGCGAGAAGATCCTCTTGGTGAAGAATCATGACCTGAAGTAGTGGAGGAAACTCAACAAGAAGTTGTACAAGAAAAGAAAGATGGTGGCCAGCAACAAGTTAATCAACAGGAAGAGGAGGCGAAGAAAGACGAAGGAGAGCAGGGTGGATCTGGTGAAGAAAGCGCGGCTCCTGAAGATGAAGAAGAGATTCAACAACATCCTGAAAGTGAAGTGAACGCTGAGACCGCAACAGGAGAGGTACCACCAGCGGAAAACAACAGTGGTGATAAACCTGATGTTGCACAGGTGGAGGAGCAGGATGGAGCTGTGAAAACAGAGGCGCAAGACCCTACTGAAGGAGAAACAGAAGCAACAAAGGAAGCTGAAGAGATGACAGCACAGGTGGACGGAGAAACGCCAACACAAGCGGAAAATGCAGGAGAAGCGCCAACTGTCGATGAACAAACGCAACAACCGCAACCGGATCCTGCAGCCGAGGAATCTAAACCTGCGGAGGAAGAATCACAACCAGCGGCCGAGGAAGCAAAACCTGAGGAACAAGAAGCGCAACCTGCAGCCGAAGAAGCGGATGTCGCTACCGAAGAAGCGAAGCCCGCGGTCGAAGAATCGAATCCTGCGGCTGAGGAATCGAATCCCGCAGGTGGGGAACCGCAAGCCGACGAACAGCCATCTGCTGAAGAACTGCAAAAAAGCGAAGACGAGACACCGCAGGAAGAAACACCGGCTAGTGAAGAAAGTTGAGGAAGTATTCGGATTTTGTGAATCCAGTTAACGTCTATCATTTCACGCAATTTTTCAGTCAGAAAATGTTTACAAAATTCCTGTCCCCGTTGGTTCTAAAGGTGGATAACGTTCTGGTTAAATCTCTACCCGTGGATGGTACATTTAAGAATTATTCTTTGAAATCGAGGTGAATAGTGGCTAAATATTTACCGAGTCCCGAAGCGGCGAGGTAAATATTCCCGAAAGCCACTATTCACCGAGATTGAAAAGAATAATTGTTTTAGTATGTACACATGAAGTGATCACGACAAAATTAAAAGGAAGCCATTTAAAGGCAATTTCTGCTTTTGAAACTTTTGCGAATCGCGAGTTCACGCCCGCCATTTTGTTTTTCACATTATCCACTCGCTCGGAGATGTACATTGTTGATTAGCCCGAGATAGCGAACCAATCAGATTGCTTGAAACGCCAAGATCACTGAGTGTGTATATACTAATACGTGTTGTTAACACTTATCCGCTGGATAGCGTTATGCATCCTTTTCTCAACTGACTGCTCATGCCAGTAAGGTTTTTACGTATCTATACATGAATTCAGGGACACAGGCCTTGAAAAGATCTGTTAAATCTGAATCAGAAATTAGTCAAATTACAGCCATTATCACCATAGTTAACTATGTTATCACAAACAAGGTTTACATGAAAACAAGTGAAAACAGTAATTTGTCACTCTAGCAACACTTTGCGCTAAACTCAAAATAAAACATACATCTATGTCTAACACAAGATAAAAAATCTATGTATTTAAAAGAAAGGAAATTTAAACTTTATGAAATAGAGACTAGTATTTTGTAAGTTTTAAGAAATCCGCTGATAAATTGAATATGATTAAACCAAAAGAAGTACTTATCAAAAGAACTAGAACTTTGCACTATTTCTCTGAGCGATGCAATTAATTCCCTATGACAGAAGATAAAACTGAGTTGACATGAAAAATAAGCAGAGGTACGTGGATATGAAAAATGGATTGTAAATACTGTAGAAAGCAAAACTTGATTTATTTCTTTAGTATAATTGTACATTGACTGTGATTTTCAAGTCAGGACATTGAGTAATTCATAAATGTATAGATTTGGGTAAGACATCGAGTTATCAAGAGGAAATCGCGTTATCAAGAGGAAATCGCGTTCACTGATGATGCTATCGTATAGTTTGTACAAGATAAAACAATGATAAGTTTTTTCGATGACAGAAAACATTGTTTAATTCTAAAAAGATTTTCTCAAGTGATTTTTAAACAACTGAGAAGAACAGTCTTTGACTCTTTCCTGTCTAGTTTTTCAAACTGTTGTTCCGTTGTGTGAAATGAAATAAAAGTCAATTCTATGTCAGAGTTGTCAACTTTTCTCTTCTCTCTCGATACCGTATCGTAACTCCCTCCGGTTCAGTTAAACACGCCGCTTTTTTAAGTGCAAGTAGATTGTGTAGGCCCTCGAAAGCTGACTTCACAAACCAAAGGAGCAAACCAACGATTGCAGGGAAATCGACTGACTTTGGAGAGTACACCAATTTTTAGTGTCCACAGGGCGCTTTTGGATTGAGCGTCTTAAACTAAATCCAAAGTTATCACAACAGCCGATTAGAACAAGGGAATATCACAGGGAACCAGTGATAAGGCAGGGTGAAAACGAGTTATCTGCGTAAAGCGCGGGAAAACCCGTTTGACCCAGGCGCGATCAGCTTTACTTCTGCATCTGATTCAGTGGAGTGAGGTTTCTGAACTAATCACGGAGTGAAGTAAAAAAAAATCAAATAAATCCGGGATTAACCGGGACTACTTTCGACACATTTCAAAATTATCGATTCAAAGTCCGAAAGCATTAATTTTGCTGTTTTTTGCACTGTGATTGATCTAGAAAACTCTTTCCCCCATGGCAAACTCAAATCGGATTATTAATAACATTCGAAGACCGTTCTACACGACTCCACCGTCTTTATTAACAACTACTGAGGTTTATCATGCAAAAGCTCCCGTATCTAAAATTTTTACATGTAACTGAATATCACCCAACATCTCCATGCCATCACAGCTTACTTGCGGTGACCTAAACCAGGGCAAAGAAGAAATCCAACCGTAAGAAGAGGACTGATAACTTCGGCGTTGCTAAAAAAGCATTAGTGGATTCTTGTGCAAATTCTAGAATGGTACTTTTGTCTCGTCATCAAAGAGTATAGTTGATAGAGTAATTTTGTTTTAATCGAGTGTTGAAAGAACTCCGAGATTGCTTTGGTTTTAGACCAATGAGATTCAGTTCGAGACTAAAACCTATAGGACTTTTTCACCCGCGTTTTTTCGACGCTGTGAGGAGATAGCTTGATTTCACTTTGGATTATCATTGGCTCGTTGTGATAGCTTCGGTTCTCGTTTTACGACACTTAATACAAGTGCACTCTTAATAGCAGCTGGACCTGGTGGATAGTGACCCATTTTCCCAACACCTTACTGCCAACTAGAGATTAATCCACCATACAGCGCTATTTACCTGGTTGGGACAAACTAGACAGATCTCAGCAATAAACTAGTGATTCGTGTGTATTGTCACCGCAACAAGTCGCTGCGACTTATCCATTATTGCGAACGTTATTTTTGAAATCACTTTAAATTTATGCGACTTGAAGTGGCTAAAAAAGTTCTGTTGCAGCGCCTAAAAATTTTAGTTGTCTTCCATGTACCCTGCAACGGGCTGCATCGATTTGTTGTCTTGTTTATTCCGACATAAAAACCTTCCAAATCAACCCTGATACATAGATCCAGTACAAATTACGATAATGAATAGTGATGGAAACAAAAAGAGGGTACGCGTATCGAGCAACGTTCTCATTACGAATTATCGTATTACCCCAGAAAATGCCGCGAAACTACAGGAGTCTATTACAGGATTTGTTACTCGTCATCACACGGAGCGAAAAGAGATCTCACAAGGACAAAATTGCGTGAGAAAGGACGGAAACTAACTTGAATACACCTAGGATAAACTTTCCGCAAGATTAACGGGGTCTCCATCGTGTGGGTTTTCTAAAAATTCTGTTAGATTGATAATTTTTTTTCCAAAAAAAATAAAAACCTTAACGACAAAAGGAGAAAAAACAGTAAATAACCAAGTTTGAAAAGGCAAAAACATTTATTTCACACTAGTGACCTTGTCTGGAGTATTCATTATTTCCCTTACAAAATTTTAGCGAGTCGGCACTTCTCACTTTTTAAGCACACAGAAAATGACTCTCATCTGCCGTTCCAGTTTGAATTAGTTTGTTTCCCTATCGTAGCACCACATCAATGTCTACTCATCCTTTACCTCTCCGACAATGGCAACTGCTTCAATCTCAACTTTTCCATACTGAAAATAAATGAATAAACAAATAAACTAACTAATCAATATGTAAAGCCTTATTACAGTATCTACGCAGCTTGGGAGTGGACGTCTCTTTTCACTTGAGCTGAAGAGGTTCATCTATGTTCTGGAGTCTAGGCAGCATTTTCTTGTATGGGAAAACCAAAACAACATCTGAAAATCATTTGGAGGTACACCAGTGGTTTTCTTGGATAAATAAATTTTCAAATTAGGTATCGTAACTAATCCGAGACTGTACTTCGCTCCACGATCGGTCTAGAAAACCCGCACCATCCTCTTGGCCAATCAAATACAAAACATACACTTGGTTACTTGTGTTTTCCGGCGCATTTTCACTCTTTTTTTCCCGCGCATTACCCAGGTTGCTTGAGTTCTCGTTGGCCTCTTGCGTTATTCACCTTGTACTTCAGTTTTTGTTGCAGGGCACTCAATTGAAATAACTTTGATGAAAAGTTATCACTTTTTCCTGACAGAGAGGGAGTAAAGTGTACCCAGAGAGTCTTCCCCTCCCCCACCCTTGACAAAATACAAGGAAATGATAAATGTTCTACATCATGATGGATAAAATGTTCATCACCTTAGGGAGATTTCCTACTTGATAGGCTGCCCTTGCTGGCTGTTTTTCGGTGAAAACTGTCAAGAATAAAAATATGAAATGCTTTCCTTCACGAGCTCAATAGTTCATCAATTCTACGATCTCATTGGTAATGTACCTTGTTGTCTGCTGCATGATTCTTATTACATTAGTTTGGAGAATTTGCTATTGGATTGACTATTTAATCTCATCAGTTTCCCCTCGATATTGCAGACACCCCAAACTCTTTGAACTCTAGGTGAGGAGAGGTATTTTTAAAGCAATGATCAAGCCTCACAAAGAATCTCAACCCTGGCCAGTGATCATTCCCAGACCCTTCAATCCTAAGTCCACTAAGCTAACCATTGGTCACCATGATTTCCATAGTATTCACCGAATCGAAATATTGCGTCCATTTTCAATTACCATTGTTTTGGACTTACTAGCCTCGTCTTGACGTGGAAACACAAAAGGATTATCACATGTGAGAGAGGCTAGTCAGTCCAGAACAATGGCAATTCAAATTGGATGTCATATTATGATTCGGTGTATAGACAAGAAACACTTTACAACAGCTAAATTGAAAATCATATCAGAGACAGTAAACTCACAGGTGGAATAAACCGCATTCACTTTGGCAAAGTCTTGAATGTCTGCCAAAAGAACAGTGGTCTTCACAACTAAAAAATAAATATTGCTCACAAATTAGAAACATGCAGTGATAGTTTGCTACAAAATGACCATCTGGATCAGATGATTTGCCTTATATTCCTGAATCCAAAACTCCTAAAATAATCTACAAGAGTTGGTACAAGTGCTTCTAATTTGATATGGTTATCAATAGTCAATAGTTAAATCGTGCTTGTTACAAGCAATTTTTTTAAGCCATTCTATTTATCTGGACAGTAAGTTTGTAAAAAAAACAAAGGAACGAAAAGAATCAAACCTCACAAAACAATATTTCTTCTTCTTCCATTATTACCCCACCTCTTTCTACTGAAAATATTTAAGGGAGATCTTTGAAATGTATAGATAATAACATAGCCAGGCCACAATACCAGAAGCTACGTTCCCTACTCTTTGCAAGAGGTGCGTGGGTTCTTTAACATCCCCAAGTACAGAGAAGATACAGGAGATCAGCCTACAGTTTATTGTACTTAGCTGAGACGACGAGAATCTCTAACCCTTTGCAGATGTCATGGCAAAGGCAGCACATTCTTCTCAGTTACTATAGGACTCTGGATGTTTGTCTGGCCTGGGGCTCAAACCTTTGACCTCCAGCACAGCAGTCTAGCATTCTACAATATGAGCTGACTAAGCTACCAGTACTACCTTTGTCAAATGAGGAGCCTCCTGCCTCCAGAATATGGCCCATGTTGGTCAGTGCCTTCAAATAAACAGCAGAGAAATTTAAAAAAATAGGTCTCCCAAGATGTAATTTTTTTAAATAAGGATAGTAGAGGAGAATTGGAATCTGGAATTTTCACAGAAAGTTACGTATTTGTGCACGATCCTTGCAGTAAAGAGCACTATTTAAGCAATAGTCAAAATCAGACCTGAAAAAATTCAGGCCTGTATGGGATTTGAACCACTGACCTCTGCGATACTAGTGCAGTGCTCTACCAATTGAGCTAACAGGCCGACTGGGAGCAGGTCATCAAATTAGTCCAACAAAAACCCGTAAGATGATAAATCAAACACAATGAATGTATGAAATTCATATAATTATCTGAACTGCAGTTATAGAAACGTATTTGTGCATGATCCTTGCAGTAAAGTGAAAGTGTGGGATCGCAGTAAACAGAAAGTGTGGGATTGGGTGAAAAATAAAACTTGTATTATGTATTAAGCCTTTACACCCTAACATCAACCTGCATATTCTCCATACTGTTCTCTAAACATTTCCTAAGGTGCTGACAAGGAGAATTTGCTTAACAAGCAAGGGCTCCTTTAGTGGCTGATCATTTCCTTTACAGTACTTTTGTGACCTTAATATGGGGGAGATATTTTAAGTAGAAATTAGAGGTTAGTCACTCTTTGGGGTCAAAGAGTTAAACATGCTGTTCTTATAAATACCTGCTTAGTTTGCTCTGTGACATCATCTGACACAAAATCCATAGTCTTTCCAAATGATAAAGAAAAAAAGGATTTGAAAAACCATAACAATGTTTAAAACATATTGAAGGGTAAAGAAGTTATAAGTGTCTGCCTGTGGGTGTGGTACACATTTTTTCTTACCCCTGGTGGGATTCAAAGTTTTAAACAAAAAGTGTCTCTGCTTATTTCTTGTCTGGCTTGTTACCATCAGACTTAGTACAGTGTCTTTACTGAGGTCAGTTTGAACTTAAGTAACCATAGTGGGGGTATGGAGATCACTTCTGTCAGTCAGAGATTAACACTCTAAAGTTATGGTTACTGAAGGCATTCAAAGTACTACTTTGACCCTGGTTCAGCAAGCTGATACCACTGACAGCCTGATTTTATATTCATACTAAACCATTAACATCATCCCCCACTGTTTACCAACGTCAACTTTGCCATTGATACTTTGTTTTTGCTCCTCAGTCTTTTCCAGGAGGAGGTGGGGGGGAGAGAGTCAAGGGATCAGGTCATGTGACTATCTAGTCAGTAACCACTGGTGTTTAATCCCAGTATTTGCCGCACGAAGAGACTTGGAATATCCTTACTCCCCCTTGGAGGATGTTTAATCATATTAGGTGATCTCTTAGCATTTTGTGAGGTTTCCCTGGCAATTTTCTGATACCCCTTTCTATACCCATGAAGAGAAGGGGTACTGTGAGTGCAGTACACAGTACATTTTCCAAGAACAAAGCACAGCAAAACAACCATTGCTCCAGTTTGGACCTCTCCGTTTTGAGCCAACGGGCTAACCCTTAATAAACATGTCTCCCATCATGCATTTATGTGATGTAAATTATTGTCATTTAATTGATGCGACACTTACTTTAGGGTCTAATCCCAGTTGTCCAGACACATACATTGTTTTGTCTGCAATTACAGCTTGGCTGTTCAAAATAGAAAGAAGCCCATATAAGTCTCTTTTAGAATACAGTTAAGATTACAGTGTACTACCACTTTCACAGCCGATGTTTGGCAAGAGAGCTAAATTGCTGGTTAGAAGTCATGAGGTCATAAAAAATTGTCCTAGATCATTCTGGTTGTGATTGAGACTTGATCACACCTCTGGGCTGTGACACCCAAGAAGGGAGTGGGAAACTAAGGGAGGGGGAAACTCCTTCGTATAGGCTACATAGGTATGTATAGCCCCATGGGGATGTGGTTTGAGACCTCTCGCGGTATAAAACAGGTTATCAATTTAATATGTTTGGTTCAATCTTTAACGCCTTTCTAAATCGATCTCTCTAGATGTTACAGGCACTCACCTTGCTTCTTCTTAAAAATATTTACCTGTACACGCCACGAATCGGCTGAACTCCCTTCGAAGCATGGACAATCTTTCTTACCATAGCCATACAGAAAGCTATGGAGAAGTAAGTTGCGTGAAGGGTCCATCAAGGGTGGAGAGGGGGGACGTTTTTTTATATCCCTCCTGAGAGCGACTCTCTTCAATCGACAAAGGTTTTCCAAGATACATACAACACTTTAATTCAGAACAACATGCAGATACATAGTTATTAAGAAAAAGGAAACCCAGAGGTTGGCCCTATAACAAGGGTCTCCTATTTATGTAAAAAATCTTACAGAACTAGTCAATAAAAATATAAAAAAGTCAAATAAGAAACAGCTAAATATCAATTATAAAATGGCGATTCAATAAATATTCATATGTTTCTTCAATTTTGATTTAAACTCACGAACGTTAGGGCTGTCACAAAAATTAAATAAATTAATAGGAAGATTATTCCAGGGTTTGATAATTCTGACAAAGAAAGAATTTTTGTAGCAGTTCAGTTTTGCGAGTTTGAGTTGTAGTTTATATGGGTAGTTTACATATAGTAAACTATATGTAAAAGATAAGATAGTAAACTTTAATGTTCCATATACAATGAAGACTTAACAAATGCTTAAAACGATGCACGTGAGCGAGACTTTCAATTACTTCATTTAATCTGCACATTCAATTAATGTTGCCTGTTTATGTACCCCGGCACACACTCCCTCGTATTTAACTCTGTTGATCTTACTTGTAAGGTCCAATGGCTCCGGGAGCTTTGGAAGTGCTTACTATTTTTCTGATCGTGGCAGCCATTCCTCTTAACATCCCAGTAAAATTTATGTATAACGACACGCGCTGCCACAAACTGATAACGAAGATAGCGTGAAAACTAGCGTAATCTTCCCCAGGGGGATGTAGAGGCGACCGAGGGGGAGAGAGTTTTCAGTGAACGTCAGACTTAACTGGACAGCGGATGTTTTTACTACCGACAAATTTGTCAAATAAGTCATAAGGTCTGCTACATTTCCATCTGCGTTCACTTTCGGTAGTGCCTGAGCTCAAACGGGGACACAGAACGTTACTGTTTTCTAAAGCAAATGGTGGATGCCAGTCAATGATATAGCTTACTGCAAGGTCTGGGAGTCTAACTTCCGCAGATACCCAAAGACGAGATTGCAGAAGCATGTTCTGTAACATAAGCTGGTCCAATTTGTCGAATCTTCATGAACTAAATGGAAACTGCAATGGTAAGCAAATAAACGAAGGCAACGAAAGAGTAACTTCGCCATTCTCTTATAAGCTAAAACTCTACCTGAATAGTGAGTATCTTTGATATTACTGATGAGCATGTTTTCGGTCAAAAGGACCAGTCCTCAATAAGGTGCTAACTGAGTTTCAAATTTCCATTGGTTATTTACCGCCTCCCGGTTAGCTCAATTGGTAGAGCACCGGACTGTTGTGCGGGAGGTCATGAGTTCAAATCCAGCCGGTCGGGGAGGTCGTGAGTTCAAATCAACACTCAGGGTCTTTAATTAACTTAGAAGAAAGAGCTGCCTTTGTAATAATATCTGCAAATGGTTAGACTTTCTTGTCTTCTCGGATGGGGACGATAAATGGAGGTCCCGTCTCCTGCAGGGTTGGGGTAGGAGACGTTAATTTCCTGGTATGTACTTCATTGCTGAATGCCATATAGATGACATATAGTGCTAGTTCCATGTAGACGACATATAGTGCTAGCCATCCTATACCATCCCTAGCCATCTTTTACCATCCATAGCCATCCTTTGACATCCCTAGCCATCCTTTACCATCCCTAACCATCTTTGACATCCCCAGCCATCCTTTACCATCCCTAGCCATCCTTTACCATCCTTAGCTATCCCTAGCCATCGTTTACCATCCTTAGTCATCCATAGCTATCCCTAGCCATCCATAGCCATCCTTTACCATCCCTAGCCCTCCCTAGCCATCCTTAGCTATCCCTAGCCATCCTTTACCATCC